TAACTCATGTATGCTTTCTCTTTGCTCCTGACCCTTAAGCATTTAGTAGTCAGCCTATTTACTCAGCCTAGGTCTTGATTGCCCCTCCCTTGAAGCCAGTGGAAATTCTGCCATCAGCTCCAAAGGGCACAGGATGTGAACCTCCTAGAAGTATGGCAATGATGACGGCTTGTCCCAAGATTTCATGATCTAGAAGCATTCATGTTTCTCTCCCTGTGAGATGAGGAGCTATGGAAAAATACAACATTTTCTCTGCCAGAGTTCAGTAATACTTCTTCTTAGCACCTAGGAGGTTTTTTGCATTTTTAAGTGCTTTACAAACATTAGCTAGTCTTCAGAGCAACCCTGCGAGGTAGGTAAGGTATATTCTCCCCATCTTATAGATGTGGAAACTGAGACACAGAGGGTCAAATTCAACCCTGGTACAATTCCAGTGGTTTACATGATTTAAATTCATTCAGGATGAACACAGTTTAAATAACTTGCCCTAGGTTACAGAACAGGTAGTAGCAAAGCAGGGACAAGAACCCAGGAGTGCCTAACTCCTCAGCTTGTTACCGTCCACTTGGTCGTTTTTGCTCTCATAGGCAATGAAAACCAGTATAATCTGGCAATTACTACAGTATGGTTTGTTTCTGTAAGGCATGCGGATGGTAATTAACTGAGTTAAGTGCAATAATACTTTCTGAATGTGCTGCCTCAGAGAGTTTACTTAAACATGAAGTAAAACTTTCATACTGTCATTTTCTGCAGGGGCACTGTTGACAAAAATAATCAACAGAGTAGCTGGATTCAGCAAATAAATAATAAGCACAACACTTGGACAACTAAGCAAAGCTATCATTTTAGCAAAAAACAATGTGTTTCTACTTTTAACTGCTAAATTTTTACAAGTGCAACATGCAGACAAAACCTTTCTCTTTGTGTCCAGACCACAGACTCCAGTCTTGCCAATGAAGCAGCTCAGGGCTGCACAGATATCCTGGATAGTGACATTCACATGAACACACTGCAGAAGAGGAAACAGTGCATCACCACAGAATACAGGATATTACTACAGAGTAGGTGTATCTGTCTTACAAGAAGATGAGCTTGAAGTTTACAGGTTACTCGAAAGTGCCCAGAAACTAGGCTTATTGAAGGCGTGCCAATGCGTAGACTGCAGTTCTAGGCACATGCTGATTGCAACGGGGAGCGTCCATGCCACCAACATTCTGGGAACTGGTCCCATCAACAGTCGGTTCATATTGGCACAGGTATTTCAGTCTGAAGGTCAGTGTCAGCCGAAGACAGAAAGACGCGCAGGCATTTTCAGGCCATTCCCTTGTGCTCCAGTCCTCACCTCGTCCCTCATACCCACAGACTCTCCCTCTAAAGTCCTGAAAAGCCTTTTAGGTTTTAATGATGAGCTGTGGAGTCCACAGTGTAGACCTTAAAACAGGTACCCAGGCAATAAAAACATTATGCAGAGTATTTCTAGGGTGTCCTTATGCATCTAGTCTGCAGGTTAGACTTCCTGTCTAAGCTCTGGACATGGTTATAGATGTCCAGTCATGTGTGCTTTCACACCAAAAAGAGATCCTGCTCCCTTACAAGCCACACAAATGCTGACATTCACACCTGCATGAGCACATCCAAGCACTATCATTATAGACGTTTTATTCCACTTTTAACCCCTTTGACTCAGTTTTGTTCCATCCATATTTACGGAGACTGGCTATCAGACATGACAAATGGATCAATTATCCTCATACATGTCCTTCACTGAATAAACACAGACACTCAGGTAGCATTTCCCTGAGATATTCTCCACACTTATTGTAACTTTTTAATTTGGAGCCACAAACAGACAAACGAGCAAACATACATTAATTAGAACCCTTAAAATCTAATCACATCTCCCTGCACCCGTTCACTCCTGATTCATGCAGTCTGCTTGCAGTGGCTCAGAGAGCAGGACTTGCAACCACCATTTACAAATAATTCCACAAAGTGCTCAGGCCCATACACTTGCCTCAACATTTTGCCAGTAGAAACTTATAAATGAAGCAGTATTCTTAATATCAGAGCCATGTACCAAATCTGCAGCCTGACGAGGGCTCACAGGCAACTCTTGAAACAGCAGTAAGATTCCAGTAAAATTGCAGTTGGTTGCAGTCCAGCCTTTATACTGTTATCTGTCGTTGAGATATATATAGACAACCCTGTGTGGCCTAGCTGCAAATATCAAATGTATTTTTACAAGTTAGCAACAGCCTTTTTTGACACTGCCTCTTGAGATGTCCTCTACGTTGTGACTGACAAGCACAAACATAATTCATTATACAGTATGCTTGAAAAGCCTTTTTTACATTTGGCTTTTACTGTTGCTTGTTTCTGAGCTGTCTTCTAGTGCAGAGATTTGCCGTTCCTGGCCTTTTTGATTTCTCTCTTAGTTTTTAATTGTTGGTTGGACATGCTAGTGGCATCTCCCAGGCAAACCCTTTCTACATAATTAGTTTTGAAACTTGGATGAGTCACTGGACACTAAGTACTATGCCGCTATTATTTTAACTTGAATACAGCACATCTCAAAGATTTGGGTCTCGTTTTGCAGTTGTGGAAATTCATAGGATGACATCGTTGCAGGTCTTAATCCATTTGCTTCCTACTGTGAGCTTCCAAGGTTTTTTCACAATATAAAAGAACATTTCAAAGCATGACAGTTGTGAACCAGCCTCCACTCCCAGTGGCGCAGCTAATTTTCTGCTTTATTGGTAGCTGAATAAAGCAATGCCGCATTTATCACAGAACTTAATGAAAATATGTAAAATTAAAATTGCCTAATGTAGTTTTCGTTTTCTCTTGAATGCAGGTTGGAAAATGAAAACAGAACACAGACAGCCACACAGGGCCATGATGGCTTTTATGGGCCATCAGTGATAGATAAGAGTCCGGTTTGGGAACTGCTGTTTCAGAAAATTCTAGCCAATGTCTTTAAGAGACCACATGTGACCCTACCACAAATTATATACTAGCAGAATTGTGACTGGCAGAGAATCCATATTTTTGTTAGACCATTCTTATCATTGACTGAGAATCTAAAAGATCCAAACCATTATAGTTAAAATGGGTTGAGATAAAAACATAAAATGAAGCGGGTGTAATTTTCTTTTAGCTTATACACTTTCACAGGGCATTTTCACAAAGCTGACATTGGTACAGGACATATCAATTATTGGTTTCTGTGATGATTCTGACCCGTATTAAGTATTTGACCTCACAATCCCTAGCTATAGTTCTTCCTATATACCCGTTATAAACAAAGGGGGCTTTGTCTTACAGCAAGGCTATGGAACTGCACTCAAAATATTTTATTGGGGTTCAGATGTCCATGAGAATGGGAAAGATCCAAGCAGAAATGTATTTCCACAGTAGGGACAAAGAGGCTGCGTTAAAGAGCCACTAAGATATTGGGCAGTATGGCACCAGTGTTTCCTAAGGAAGTAACACCCTCCTTTTTGAAAATGGGGTATACAAGCAGTTTCTCACCTGAACTTTAAGTTGTAACCCCCTTCTGTAATATTATTGCATACTTGTTACTTGTTCTGTAAGACAAAATCAAAATGCATGTTTAAAATCTGCACATAGTTTACAAAAATGTCTCTTTCCATATAAAGTTCAATCTATAGTTAGCTGTTCGTTGTGTGAGAAGGGTAGTACCTGGGTTGCTGTGAAAAGATACCACTTTGAAAAGGATCTTATAATTCTTGTCTTTGAACTCCCTCAAAGCTTCTGAAGGAGGACTTAAAAACACCCAGCTGCAGCCACAACTGATCAAAATAACTAAGTGGGGAATGATGAGAAAGTGCCAATATTCAGTACTTATAGAGCCAGATTTCAGGTCCTGAACTCAGATTCAGCAGTACCTTATTCTATAACTAATTTTAGCATGGTAAATCTGACAGAGTGCTCTAATTAAAGAGCAAAAGAAACCAGTTCCGTGTAATTCTTTGATGGATCCAGCATGAGATCTCGTGCATCAGTTACTCTCTTCACATCCACAGAACTCCCACTGAGCATAGCAGGGGCTTAAAGAAAATCTGGCATCTGACTTTGTCGCTAAAGGGCCCATTCGGGGTGATTTACCAGGGGAGATAAAAGGGGCCCCTTAGCAACCCCCTTCCTTATGTGCTAGGGGAAGAGCCATGCCATTATGCAGTGCCCCTCTTCTCCCCCGCTCCAAACTGGTTTGACCCCTTTCTGGTTCAGTTGTTTTACATATCCCTTTATTTTATTTTTGCATCCGAGTGGCCAGACCAACCACTCACTGCCTGTCTAATTACAGTCCCTCCATCAATTCTGTAATAATGCACAGCTGCTTTTCCTCTCTCTGTTAAATGTATTGTTCCCTGGCTGAAACGGCTGCAAGACCTTAAAAACTATAGCTAGCTATCGATTAGTTTGCCTTTAAAATCCAGTATGTGGCTGCAAAGGCCTGTTACAGTATCACAGAGGAGAAGTGTCAGTGCATAATCTGCTAGGAAATTTCCCATCGGAGTTGGCTGAAAGCCTCTGAGTAGTCATTGCACAAGTGTCTTCAGGTGCATACATATACACACATATCTGTAGCTAATAAATACATAGCTAGAGAGAGAAATATATATATATGTATATACAGAGCTAGTTCAAACCTAATTGTTATGAAATTAGTAAGTGGCATTCACAGTTCATGCATTCTTCCTCGTAGCAGAGCTAAATTATTTCACCTTATACTCTAAGCAGCAACATACCAGTAAGTGTTTGCTTGCTTCCTCTGGTAACCTAGTAGTTAAGAGCATGAGCAGTTCTGCCACGGTCATTTTCTCTGGCAACCCTCCTCTCCTCCACAGGCGTGCTTGCCCCAGGTTTCAGAGTATCTTCAGGACACAGTGGGGCTACTCTGAGGGTCGCCAGTCTGAAGATGATCAGGCAGGGGGTCTCCAGCCCAAGGGTCATCAGTATGGTGGTTGCTGCCCCGGCTAGTCCTGCTTGCAGAGGTCTGCGACACCGAGGAACCTCCTGACGACCATGGCCAGGCAGAGTGCCAGGAGCAGCATATACCCCACTGTGCCCAGGTAGGTGGGGGCAGCCAGGGGTGCCTTGAGGAACTCAGCCAGCCCATCCTCCACATAGTGCACCTGGTCGTAGATGCTGAGGAAGGTAAAGATGTGGAAGAGCTGGTGGCTGTGCCCCACGATGTCAAAGAGCCCTGGTTGGATCCGCTCAGGAATTTTGCTGACATTGAAGAAGGCGGCCACCAGCAGCCAGCAGTAGCGGCGGTAGAAGTAGATGAAGAGCGTGGGGTTGCGGGTGCGGAGGTCAAAGAGGAGACTCTCCACCATGATGGGGCAGGCCATGCTTAGTGGCATGGCGAAGACGAAGGTGCGCACAGCGAAAGGGTATGCACAGCAGGCGGCGCGACTGCGACAGCAGGCGGCCGTGCAGCCCACGGCCAGCGCCAGGGCCACGGGCAGCACCAAGGCGCGGTAGGCTGCGATGGGCAGGCTGCAGTCCAGCTGCCAGCCCAGCTGCTGCTGCACGTAGTGGCTCATG